AGGAAGGGTAGAGAATGAAAAATGAAGGAAGGCAAACGTTGAATCTGTTAATAATCTGCGATTTAATCTGGTCTTCACCTCAACCAGTGCGTTTTCACGAATAAATTACTTGAAGATCTTATTTTATTTCCTTCTGACAGTTTCACTAATCAGCACTTCGACCCACTCACTGTCAGCTCTAATCATCTAAGGCATGAGAGAGAATGAAGGATTTATTTAGGTTATTGCATTAGCTAACTGAATGCCATCTCGCAGGCGACCTACGGACCAAGGTCGTTTTTTGATCTAACCCACCTCGAATCTACCTACCTCGAAAATAGGGGACTGTTATCTATGACCCTCCACCTTTTTAGGAAGGAGGCATTGGCTGTACAGGAACACCAAAGTGCAACTGGCCTTAGAACTTTTGAAGTAAGGGCGTGTAGCATTGGCAATAGGTATTCAGGGCAGTGTTTCAAATAGGTTTAGCTCAAAGAACAATAGGGCATCAGAACTAAAGGAAAGGAATTAAATTGTCGCAAATGAAAGAGCTATCTCCTTACCAAGTAACTGGCAACAGGCGCAACTCCAGGTCAATCTTCATTCCTCTCTTTCAAGCAAGGGCTTTTAGTTACACCCTTTCGCCGGCCTAATAAGAGAAGTTAACATGCTCCTGTTTGCTTCTTGCGCAGATGGACGGGCGCAACCATGCGGTTCCTTTCACCCCTGCCTTGGCAAGATGTGAGATGGCAAGAGAGGTCAAACAACAAAAACTGCCGAGAGGGATTTCAGGAAGGCAGTTGGTCGTCCACCAGGAACTGCAGAACATTTTAATCCTGGATTTGAAGGAAGCCACCCTTTCGGACCCCACCTTGGCGCACCTCCTCAGATGGCTGAACTGGGATGCCGTCTTCGCAGAAGGCAATTTACCGCAGGTCGGCTCTATCGGCGAGTTGGTACTCCACTTGCACAACGAAGCACTTTGTTTCATTCCTGCTGCCAGGCAGCAATCTGAAGCTGCCTTTTGGGTTATTGAAGCGGACCGCTGGGCAGCTACACTCCGCTCCTGGTATTGGGCGAGGATTTTTGCTCACCATACGATGGACGCTATGGCTGCCAGATCTCTGGACCAGATTCCGCGGGGCCTCACCCAATCCCCGGTTGTCTACGATGGCCAACATTTCGAGGAGACTAAGGCCTTCCGCAAGCTGGCCTTTTTGGCTTGGGGACTTGCACTGGTGGATGGGATGGTACCAGCTAATAGGCGAGGAAGGCAATCGGTAATGGATACCCAGGAGGTGGAAGCCCTTTGGGGCCTGTTCGGAAGAATGGAATTTTCTAGGGCCTCTCACTGCACTTTGGTGCACACCCTGATGGAGGTTCTCGCCGGGCTATCAGACGAAGGAGCTAAAGTGGCAGAATTGAAGGTGTGGCTTGAGGAAGGGCCTGCAGCAGAATCCTTGGGAAGACGGAGGCAGCCAGGATGGTTCAGCGCGACCTGAATACCATCGCAAGTAACTGACGGTAAAAGAAGAAGAGGTAGCTGGTAGTGAACATAAAAAAGGAGGAAGGAGGAAAAGTAAGGGTGAGTAAGGGGAGGAGGAGAAGAGTAGTTTAGTGGCTTGCGTAAGAAGAAAGCTGACGTAGTTTCGGTAACTGGGTAACGCAGACCCCTAGGAAAAAAAAAAAAAAAAAAAAAAGTGTAAGAAAGGGAGGAAAATACGGATAGCGGGAGAAAAGGAAAAGGGGAAGTAAGAAAGAGGTGAAAGAGAGGGAGGAAAAGGGAAGATTAAAAAAAAAAAGGGAAAAAAAAAAAAAAAAAAAAAGGTGAGGGGAAAAGGAGAAAAGGACGAGAGAACTGTCCTCCGTTAAGGTCCTTGTGTCTTGATTTTTGAATCAAATAACAATGAGGAGCATTTAGTGAATTTTCGACTCATCTCAAAAGATTGAGGGTTTTTGGTAACCACTTTATTATTCCAGTTGCAGGAAAATCTGTGGAAGTATTTTGCCACCTATCGGTTGTCCTGCCTAAGGCAAAGCGGAGGGTAGGGTCTAAGAAGGGGGGGGGAAAGGAAGAAGCTTAACCTGCTACTCAAAGATTTTTTTATTTTAAAAAAAAAAAAAAAAAAAAAAGGAAGCTAATCGTATCCAGGAGTAGGCTTTCCATTAGAACGTTTTCGGTGGGTTTCCGTTGTGGGAAAAGATCAACTGCCTCTGAGACTGGGCTTATGGTTATACCTACCTGAACTACCCTAGCTCTGATAGTTAGCAGTTGACTGGTGAATGTTTTTGACTACTCGGGGCTTTGAGTAAGAGGTTTCTAGTTTCAGTGGGGAAATTTGGAGTTTTGGAAGCTTGTTTTGTCAACTTTGTAAGGACTCGCATGTGCTAAGCAGCGAATTCCACTTGCCAAGCTAGGATTTTCTTGGCCTACCAAGGTGGTCACTGTTCTAGTCTGGAATATCTGAGATGACTGGGGCAATTTTTAACTCTTCTGGGGAAAAGGGTTGCTACTTGATTATGCAAATCTGAAACTATGTAATCTTGGTAAAAATCGGTTTTCCTTGGTCCTAGAGATTGTAGGATTAAGGACAGTTTTGTCATCTTTTCATATGAATGACTGAGCTTATGGTTACACCTACCTGAACTGCCATGACTCTGATAATTAGTTGTTGATTGATGGATGTTTTTGACTACTCGGGGCTTTGAGTAAGAGGTTTTCTAGTTTCAGAGGGAAAATTTGGGGTTCTGGAAGCTTGTTTTTTGTCAACTTTTGTAAGGACTCGCATGTGCTAAGCAGCGAATTCCACTTACCAAACTAGGAATCTCTTGGCCTACCAAGGTGGTCATTATTGTAGTTAGGAATATCTGGGATGACTGGGGCAATTTCAAACTCTTCTGAGGAAAAGGGCTGCTACTTGATTATGCAAATCTGGAATTATGTAATCTTGGTAAAAATCGGCTTTCCTTGGTCCTAGAGATTGTAGAATTAAGGACAGTTTTATCATCTTTTCATATGAATGACTTAGCTTATGGTTACACCTACCTGAATTGCCCTGGCTCTGATAATTAACTGTTGATTGATGGATGTTTTTGACTACTCGGGGCTTTGAGTAAGAGGTTTTATAGTTTCAGAGGGAAAATTTGGGGTTCTGGAAGCTTGTTTTTTGTCAACTTTTGTAAGGACTCGCATGTGCTAAGCAACGAATTCCACTTACCAAACTAGGATTCTCTTGACCTACCAAGGTAGTCACTATTCTAGTTAGGAATATCTGGGATGATTGGGGCAATTTCAAACTCTTATGGGGAAAAAGGTTGCTACTCGATTATGCAAATCTGAACTACGCAATCTTGGTAAAAATCGGTTTTCCTTGGTCCTAGAGATTGTAGGATTAAAGGCAGTTTTGTCATCTTTTCATATGAATGACTTGGTGCACCAAGGACGGAGTCTGGTCTCTTACCGAATTTCACCTAAACTCTGAGCATTGAAAGCCTCAGAAAAAAAGAAAAGAAAAAAAAAAAAGAAGGGGGAGAATTTTAGGGGGGGGGGGGGGGAGGGGCTTGAGTAAATCATGTGCTGACTATCCGCTTGGTTACAAGGAAGTATTTGTCCATTTGCTTATTGCCTTCTGAATGTAAAAAAATAAAAAAAATAAAAAAAATAAAAAAAATAAAAAAAAAAAGGAAGAAAGGGGAGATGGAGGAGTACGAAGAAGCTGAGGGTCAGGAAAGGGGAAAAAGGGGAAGGCGGCCAAAAGAGGAAGGACGAAAAAAGAGGAGAAGAAACGGGTTAACTTCAGAAATTCTGCCTACTGTCCCTTCTGAGGTGGAGGTCATGTATGGCTAATCACTTGCAAGATTAAATCTCAGTCTTCAAACTCCGGGACTACCCATCCCGGCTTAGCTACTCCCTACTAGCTTAAAAGGTACACGACCTTAATGGCTTGCCAAGCTGGGTAGGATGGTTTTGGGTGCTCAGAGGATATAATTCTGCCAGTTTTGCCTGAACTGGAGTAAGACCAACTAGACCCTCGTCAATAGGAGCCTCAGCAAATACTTGAATTCTTTACTCCTAGGGTCTGTCTTGAGGAAGAAAGCGGGAAAAAGCTTGTTGATCTGGCCCGACTTGGGCCGTGAGTGAATTCCCTTAAAAAAAAAAAAAAAAAAAAAAAAAAAAAAAAAAAAAAAAAAAAAAAAAAAAAAAAAAAAAAAAAAAAAAAAAAAAGGGACTTGGGCCGTGAGTTAAACGGAATTGATAAGAAGGGGGGAGGCTGGTTTTGCTTCAGAAACTATTTAGTAGGAAGTAGGTAGGCTCATGATTGGCTATCAACCTTGCACTGAAACCCAGTCCGCACTCTCTTGCTCGGCAGGTTATTTCCACCCATTCTTTGCAGGTCCTAAGCGGCCTTTTAAGTTATTTCACTCTTACAAGCTTGGTCTAGTTTTCAGAACTGGGAGACCCTTACTATAGTAATCCCTGTTTAAAGCTAAGATGGGACAGGTAAAGCAGTGTAAGGAAGCAGCAAGGAGCCTGTTTAAATTTAGGGGCCCCTTTGATTTAAAATTAAAGGACGATTGGGGGGAGGCCAGAAAAGAGAAAGGTTGTAAAAAAAGAAAAAAAAAAAGAGGAAGGGAGTTCTAGTCTGCTGGCTATTTTTGTGGATTGAGTTTTCATTAGGTTTTGGCTGCTTTGTTGTAGGAGATCATGGACCCGGAAGTGTGGGAGCTTTACCGTGCAGGAGGAGCCTTGGCACTGGTTGGAAAGGAACTGTTTATGCCTCTGTGCTTCCCATCCCTCAGATTGGTTCGGGCTTATGTTCGGGATTGTACTAACCCACTGGAAGAGGACCCATATAAACTAGTCTTTACTATGACCAACAGTGGAATATGCAATCCGGTTCCCCTCCACCTGCTAAGAACCAGCCTTCCCCATCAGTATCCCCAACCCCCTTACCAACCCCAGATATCATCAGAGCTTCCTTTCGCTATCTCGTTTGACCCCCAGAACCTTGCAAAGGAGGACTCGGTCCAGGCATCAACTTCCAGGAAGAATCCTGTCTCCTGGGAGGATGTCGAACTCCTGCAAGGGAGGCTGCACCTTAAGATTCAAATGCATCAAGCGGACCTGAATCAGGTCAGAGGTATTTTCGACAGGGTCATCACCACCTTGGACAAGAGCAGAGCAGCTCAGGAGGAGGTCAAGTCGCTGCAGCTTATTTTTGATCAGCCGCCTTGGCGCAGGCACATCGCTATTATGATCAGGGCAAATCAGATAGAGCTGAATTACAAGCACTTTGAAAAAGGAAAACCAGCAGCTAGCGCTTTCAAGAATGCCCTGGCTGGATTGGCGGAGGAACTTTGTGATAAGAGATGTCCTGAGGATGCAAAGACCATGCTGAAGACTCTGGAACTGGACACGGCGGTTCTGGCCCTGTCCAAAATAAACAAGGAATGGGACGAGCAAGAGAACAAGGCGGCGATCAGAAGCGGGTAAGTGGCAGCGGTATTCGCTGACCTCAATTCTATCCTAAGCTGCCAAGCTATTTATCAAAGGACCTTTAGGGGAGGTTAATCCGACCTCCTCACGCCTTTTGTTGCGGTGGAACCTTCTATCTTGCTTAACTAATTATGCCAATCAGATCTGAAGACTCAGGTACACATTAACTGATTGTTCTGTTGCAGGTACGGAGGATCTGATCTGGCAAGAAGCTCAAGGCACAGAAGCCCGCAAGGCAATAGGATCCCGTCAATAAGTTACTATCACCACAGCAGCAGGCGTTCCCCTGGTCAGTCAGGAAGGAAAGAATGGCATCACAGATCGAGATCCCCGAAGCACTCAAAGCCTTAAACTCTTTGCCCTCAGCTGCTCAAGTCTCTTATGCATTCCATATGTTGCAGAACAGGTCTCAGTGGTGGGCCAGTTTGGAATCTTTCAGAGCGGCAGAACCAACCAGACACTTGGCAGCCTGGAAAGCACTCTTGGGCTCTTCTAAGAGGAAGCACTCCATGAATGTTCTGAATTGGCTTAAGCATGGAGTACGGCTAAATTTCTCAGGCACTGGGCATCAGCCTGGGCCCAAGATTGACGAGGTACGGAGGATGGTCAAACCGATCCTCAAGGCATCTGAATTTAGGAAGTGCTTGAGATTAGAGGAACCTTCTCCGATATCGCTTCCTAACTATCAACTGCCCCCTCATTTTGCAGATTTTGCTAGTAGTAGCGTGGACCAGATGCTATCTCAAGGAGTGATTTCAGAAACTGATTCAGCCCTGGTAGTCAACCCGGTCTTTGTAATTGAAAGTTCCCAGAAGCTTCGTTTTATTATCGACTTGCGCTACGTCAATCTTTTTATCAGTTTTCCGGAGTTTCACTATGAGTCGATAGATGATGTGGTAGCAGTCATGGATGGTCATGGTATCCATGATTTTGCAGTCACTTTTGATGTAAAGAACGGCTACTACCACATCCCGGTCCATGAATTGTCCAAACCTTACCTGGCTTTCCAATGGGGAGGAAGAACCTTCCGGTTTAACACCTTGTGCTTTGGGATCTCTTCCGCCTGTTGGATCTTCACAACGGTTATGCAGGAGGTTATGGCGGAATTTAGGATGAGAGGAGTGATGATTTTTTCTTACATCGATGATAGTTTAGCAACGGATGTTCACTTCACTAGATGCCTATGAAATTCTTGTCTCATCTCAATTATCTTCCTGAAACTGGGTTTTTTCCTGAGTTTAAGCAAGTGCCAAGTGTTTCCCTCACTGACAAACCGCTTCCTTGGTTTCATTATTGACTCACATGAGAAGAGAGTAAAAGTACCGGAAGACAAGGTGCGAAGACTCTCCCTCCTCCTTGAACTCTGCAAAGAAGAATCTTCACTATCCTCTAGAAAGATAGCCTCACTGGCAGGAAAACTAGTCTCCTCGGCAAGAGTCTTTTTGCCAGCAACTTTGTACTGCTCTAATTTTCACTCCGCTCTGGAAAATTGTTCATGGAATGAAAAGGTGAAGTTGTCTAGGCAATTCAAGCAGGATCTACTCTGGTGGCTCTCCCACCTGCCCATCCTACCTGGACGCAAATGGGGAATTAGGCTAGCCTCGGTGAGGATCCAAACTGACGCCTCTGACTTGGCAGTAGGAGCAAATTTCCAGCTAAGCTCATATCAATTCTGGAAGGCTAGTTTTCCTCTCTCACCAGATTTTCTGACCAAGTCTAGTACGCACAGGGAACTGTTCGCTGTGACAAAAGCAATCCTGCTACTTCTAAAGCATGCCCCGCAGGAACTGGAATCTACAGCTTCGGAATGTGTCAGTGACAACCATGCTGTCTTCTATCTCTTGTTGAAACTAAGATTATCGGATGTTATATTTAACCAGCTTCTCAGGAAGATTGCGGAGATCCTTATCACTAAGGACTGCCAGCTCAAGCCAGTATGGGTCCCTAGGGAACTGAACGATGAGGCAAATCTGCTGTCAAAAGTTGTGGACTATGCGGACTGGGGGCTAAGCAAGGAGAAGGTGGAGGAACTTTTCAAGATTTTTTGGGAACCAACCATTGATTTGTTTGCCTCAGAAGAGACTTATGTTTGTAAACCTTTTATCTCTTAGTTTCTCTCACCCAACTATTTTATGGTGGATGCCTTGTCAGTGGATTGGTCGTCATTGCCAAACTCACCCTACAGGTGGGTTTTCCCTCCGACCTGCCTCATTCAGCAGGTTGTGGCAAGGATCAGGAAGTTTGGAGGAGATTATCTCCTTATCGTACCAAAATCAAAGAAGGCGAATTGGTTCCCAGCAGTCAGAAGGCTCAGCATTTCAAGGCAGGAGAACCTGGGGAAGAATCCCAGCTCATGCTTCCCCTCAAGCAGGGTTCCGGCCGGTGCTTTCAACCCTGCGAAGTCTAGACTCACGACTTTAAGATTGTCAGCGCCTAACTAATCAACGACACCTGTACCCATATTGCATGAAGGAGGAAAATGTCTTCCAGGTACCTTGGCCCAGCATCCGCTCAAGCGGCCAACCGGACCGAATGTCGTCCCTAACTCCCTCAACTCTAAAACTGTGGCTACTTTCGCCTGCATAAATGCCCAGACTTTGCAAGCATTCACACAGTCTTTTGTTGAACCTGCTCAATGTCAAACTCTCCTTAGTCCTAGTACTCCTGAAGAGAGGCCCACCGTCACGAAGGTCTATTGGTGGCCTCAATTTGCTATAACTCTCCCGCATCTCTTCAACCAATTCCAGGAAGGTAGTACCAGTCTGACCTCGCTCGTGTAACTTTATCAAACCCTGCCGCCCTTTTCGCAGTGTTTTGGTGTAAGCCGGCTGTACCTGTTGAACCTCCTCGTCCACCTCTTTTCCTTGTAACCTTAATCCTTCCACCCCATGCTGCCAACTTTCCCACAAATAAGTCATTATGCATAAATCGCGCAAGGTTTCAGCCCGGCGATAACCGCTTTGCTCGTTCATCCTCCACCGTAATCCTGTATGTATCATCTGCATTTTCTCCCTAGTCATAGGAGAAGCTTGCTCTTCTGTAATCCCGATCTTCAAGGCATAATTGCGGTATGATCTCCGGTAGTCCTTTACCTTGCTGCTTGTGCAAGGATTTCTGGAACCCTCTCGTCCAAGTATCTGGAAGCAACGACTCAAGCAGTTGATGCTCGAATCTAAGGTACTGCAGGCAGGAAAGGGGCGGCCATCTTTGTCAAAGGTCCGATACCTCCTGCTAAGCTCGGGGAGCCACTGTCCTTGCAGGAAAGCCAGAACATCCAGGTCATTGCAATCGTGTATACTTCGCCCAACGCAATTGCGGTGAAGCCAATCATTCAAGGATCGAAGCATGCGACCCCGCTCCTTTTCACTGTTTTTTGAGAGACCGTATTCTGCAATCAGCTCCATAGAGTCAATCAGACCCTGATTGTATTCCCCTTCATGCTGAATTCTTGGCTGAGTCTCTGCAGCAGCAAGGCTTCGCTTCAGCATTCTCTCCAGCCACCATCTCCTGTACACAAATGATCATCCCATTTGGTAAATGAAGGTGGGGAAGATGGGTTGGATAGGAGGTGCATTGGTGGGTGCCCCAGTTTTTTTCCCAATTTCTAGGAAGGTTTCATCACCTGAGGAACTATGGTCATCTGAACTTAATTATTGCAATCTCTGACTTTTGCAGTCTATTTCCTGTTCACTCTTTAGTTCATGTTACCCCTCTTTGGAAGTTGTTTTGTTCTGTTGCAGGTAC